TTACAGGGCAAGAAGAGGGGCACTCCAGAACCCCCAAACCTGCCTGCTCTAAATAGATTCTGCCATCTGCCGCATCAAGACAAAACATGTAAGACCTTTAATGAAAAGGAACTTTAATACAAATAGTAAACAATACAGAAAAGACAAAGGCTATAGTTTCTAAAGCAAGCACCCAAAATTACCCGTCTCCTTGTGGGTAAAAGTCCAGCCAAACGGAATTGGCCCAGAGCAAGGCCCTAAAGCCTGCCCCAAATCTAAAGCACCTTTCTGCAGGGACCCATAGAAAAAGGGTCAGAAAAGCCAGACAAGTCTGTGAGGAAAAGAGCAAAATTAAAACCAAGATAAAAGCTGCCATCGTCACCTCCCCAGGGGTCTCTTACCCACATCTGTTTCAACCAGTCCAGGACCAAAAGGCAAGCGCAATTTCCTCACTATCTCTTGACTCCATGTGCCTCCTCTAGGCCTCCTTTCTGGCTCTCCCTCCTGCTTCCTTCTTTCTCAGTCTCTTCTCCACCTTCCTGCTCAGCTCCACCTGCTTCTCCACCTTCCTTCCTGCTCAGCTTCTCCTTCCTGCTCAGCCCCACCCTCCTTTGGGTGGGGCAGGGAACCTGGAACCTCCCCTTTTCCTGGGGACCACCCTGTTACAGATACTTCTACTATCCAATGCTAGAATAGATATTCTTCTGTGCCCTTTTCATGTGTGATGTGACTTTGTATGATACCTGCCACTAATAAGTGTTTAAGGCAGCTAATCCTATTGGATGTTATTGTTATTCTAGTTAAGCTTCATAAAATCCCTGTGAGGTTATAGTTGTCCCAGTTTTTATGACTGAAGACTCAGGACACTGAGGGCATTAAGTAATTTAGCAGTAGAGCTTAACTATAGCACTGCCTTCTGTACTGCACCTCCTCTCAACTTGCTTTATTTGACAGCAAGGGGCGAAGTTAAATGACTATCCACAAACAGTGGTTTGATAGGCTGATTTGCTGCTATTTAAGCTCATCCGCATTTCTAGGGACCACTTAAGTGCTGCATAGCTTAGGGATCACATTCAGCCAGTGATTGTTCAGAGATTGTGCTAAAATACCTCAAGCCAATAACTTCTGCCAGTGGATTGGGAATCCATTTAAAAAGTTGAGGCAGTGTTAAAGTCTGTCTTAGCTTTTACTTTCTACTAGACTCTCCAGATCTCTGCTGTGTGTGAGTGCGAGCTCATGGGCAGCCAGGGATGCATGAATTATTTAGACACTCTTTGGCCTCTGCTTGTGTGGCTGCATGGAGACCATATCAAGGCCCTCTGTCATGATCTCATTTTCCAGATCTTCCTATTAAGTTTCTGGTTAGTCAGCCAGTTTCTGCTAGTCCCAACCACAGCTGCACCTACCTGAGTTGTTCTTCCCCTTTCATTTGTCACTGAGATCACTAGTGTAACTGACTACATCATGGAGCTGGGGCTTTTCCATATTCTGTTCTAATATCAAGGCAGTTACCTCCAACAGTAAAGCTCCCTATTTTTACCACTTGTCTCCTCTCCACAAATAGAACATCTTTGCATACCTGGGCTGAGGATGAAAGCAGCCTTGGACAAGAATTCCAGAGTCAGCTGTGTTTATCTATATTAAGTAGTTTTTCATCAATGGCTATTTCTCAATTTGATATATACTGTAGTTGATTTCCAGAACCCTGGAATTACTCTTATTGTCAGTTTTTTTCAGCTTTATTACTGCTTTTTGGGGAAAATTTTAAAGAACTACTTTCTCTGCCATGTTAGAAATCCCTTCCCTCTTTTAGATTTTTATATTTAGCATTTTGCTCTTCATTCTTTTTGCAGCACAAATGTCCTATCTGGATTCATTTTTCATATGTCTGAAGTACATCCTTTAGAATTTTCTTTAATGAGCATATTTTGGTCTCATACTCACAAGTTTTCTTGTCTGAAAATATATTCATTCTACTCTTTGTGAAGAGTATTTTTACGAAGTGTAGAAGTCTAGGTTGGTAGTCCTCAACCCCCAACACTGAAAATAAAATTCTCATGCCTTCTGGTTCTTCTGTCTTTTGCTGTTGAGAAGTCAGTGATTAGCCTATCCTTGGAAGGTCTTCTTATTAAGGCAAATTTTAAGATATTTTTGTTTTGGTATTCTGTGACTTCCCTTTGAAATGTGAATATTTCTTTGTTAGTCAGGAAAATTGCCACTTTCTCATCAAATAATTCCTGACTGTTTCTTCCTTGGGGCCTTTGATTAAATGTACATCAGATATTTTCACTTGGTCATCTATGTCTTGTTAACCTTTATTCTATTCATTTTTCTTTTCTTTTTGTGATGCATTCAGTATAATTTCTTCTAAGGAAGAACCTCCTCTACCATATGGCAACCTACTCTGCAGAAATTTATAGGCAGGGGTCTGGGTGGATTTAATGTTGTTTCACTCATGCCTTGTGAGCAGATAGCTCTTTTGTGGTCCCAGCTCAATGTGGACAGGGACTTCTTTTAAACATGGCTGGGGCCTGCACCTGGGTTTTGAATTATGTGCTTGTCTGCATTTAAGCCTGTCAAAACCAAAGCTCCAAATTTATACAGTTGGCAAATTCTTTCAAGACAAAACCCCTCTATCTCTCGATTTATTTCTCTGAGTTCTAGCTTTCCTTTTTGACTTGGGAATTCTTTGGTGGTGATGATTAGTATTATTTAAAAAATATCTTAAGCATTTTTCAGTGTTTTCAATGGGAGTGTTATCTAGCTTGTCACCATCAGAAATAAGATGGTTCCCTTCCACTTACACCTTGGGCCATGAATGAGAATTAGTTTCATCATTTTATAGTTACCGCTCATGTTTTACCAAAACATTATTTTCTGTTTTCTTCCTATCCATATTTTAAAATAAATTTGCCTGGAATAGCTTTTGTCTTCTTAAATTAATTCAGCCTGCTTCAAAGGAAGGCTTGTCATTATCTACTGTATCAGAATATGCTGTCAGTTTTTGGTGTGGGCCACCATCCCTTGCATCAGAAATACCTGAGATGAAAGGGGCCTCCCCGGTGGCGCAGTGGTTGAGCGCTGGGTTGCGAAGCTGCCCGCAGCCTCTGCAGCGCCGGTTCGATCCCCGGCTGCTCCCTGGCCACTGGAGGAGGATCCCACATGGCGCGCAGACCTCCCCTGCGGCCCGCTCCCCCCCCCAGCAGTGTACCTCAGTCCTTCTGCCTGCTCTGCTCCCCGCTCTGGCTCTGGTGAATTCTCTCACCCTCCCGTGCTTCTGACTGTACCCACTGCTTGTATAAATAAATAAATAAATCTTTAAAAAAAAAAAATACCTGAGATGTACATTTCTTTATCACTGAGTATTTCAGTATGTATTTCTTACAAGCAAGCTCTCTTACATGATTGTCATTGTTTGTAGGAAATTAAAATGATTAAAATTTGGAAGATTTAATCAATACTATTATTTATTCCATAGTCCTCTTCCCCCCAACTTTACTTTGTCAATTATACAAATAAAAATTGTATATACTTAAAATATATGTGTTGTTTTGATATATGTAAGTATATACAAGTTAATTAACATTAGCTAGCAATTTCAAGTTAATTAACAAGTTAATTAACATTAGCTAGCAATTTCCTTTTTCGTGTATGTGGTGATAACACTTAATACTGCTCTTTTAGCAAGCTTCAAGTCAGTATTATTCACTGTAACCACCATGTTATAGCTTCAATTTCCAAACTTATTTATCTTCCTTAACTGAAACTTTGTTTTCCTTGCCCTTTGTTCCTGGCAGACATCATTATATTACATTTCTATGTTCAAATGTTAAGTGATACTGTGCAGTATTTGCCTTTCTGTGTCTGGATCACTTTCCTTAATATTCTCTAGATCCATTCATGTTGTTGCAAATGGCGGGATTTACTTCCTTTTTTTTAAGACTGAATAATATCCCATTGCATATATATGTCACATTTTCTTTAGTCATCATTATGGACTCATAGATTCTTATGTTCTTAAGTAGGTTATGATGTATTACTATAATTTATTTTGATGATTAAATTGTCCCACAATTAGTGAGGATATTGTAAGTTGGTTTCTTTGTTAATTTGATGTCTGTCCCCATCATTCTTTTAATACATCTTTACTTTCTGGCACAAGATGTGCCTGACTTGTTTTATACCTTTTCTACCCCTAAAATCAGGCATTTTTCAAATAAAATCTTAGTTCCTTTTAGTGAGAATAGACAGTCAGATCTGAGCATGCTCCCTGTTACCAGTGTGCCCTTCTAGACTGTCTTGGGGAACTGAGCAAGGAAATATACATGAGTTTACATGCGCACACAAACACACCTATGTCTGTTGCTCTGTTGATCTGTCTTTTATAAATCATGTTTCCATAGCACTATCTCCAGTTGTAGTCCAACTGAACTTTCACTTTCTTTGTAACTCACTTTTCCAACAGTGAAAAACCTGGCTCCCACCATTCTCATATCTTTACTCTCATCATCTTTACTCTCATGCTTAGAATACACAGAATGTGACTTCAGTTAGAATTGCTAACCTTTAGCACTATAAAAAATAAACATATATACTACGCTGCTGTGTAACCTTTTGCAAATATCTGTTAATTCATCATTTCATCAGGCAGTATAATTATTTAAACAGAGGCTCGAATCCAACAATACATTGGAGATATTTTTGATGCATTGTTTATGTGCTGTTCTTAATAATTGTTTATTAAGTGTTGAGTAGATAATTGATTTCTCATATGAAACTATTAATGAGAGATTAGAATATATGCTCCTTTTAATGACTATAGTGAGAGAAATTCAAAAGTACTATTATTATCTCTTGTATTATTTGGAATGTTTTCTTGTTTCACTTAAATTTGAAATTTAATATATTTATGATGTCTAATATATTTAGTTATATTTAAAAACAAACTGATTTGCAACCTGTTTGAAAGACCTGTAAACAATGAGAATCTTTCTAAAGCATGTTTTCATTTCTTTCACCAGAACCCAACTTGGAGGAGTCTTGATTTTGGAATAATGCCCAACCATCTTGACACATCTGTGTCTTTTTTTGTGGTGAAGATATGGGGTGGAAGAGAAGACATCTATCAGCTGTTGATTGAATGGAAAGTCTGCTTGGATGGGCTGAAATACTTGGGTCAGCAGGTAATTTTTAGGGTATGGTTTTTAAGTAGTTCTCTTCTCTAAATTAGCCTGTCCAACCTTTCTGTTGATCCTTCTTATTCTACATTTCCTATTGTAAAGAGACCTGTTAATGATTGTTTACTTAGTTCTAGAAATTTTAGTTGCCAAGTTTCAAATATAACCTTTAATTGAAGAAATTTATAAAAATGCTCCCTAATAAACTGCTAGTGGAAAAGGATTTTTTTTTTTTGGTAGGAAACTCTATATTCTGCTGCTTCTTATTTTGGCTTTTCCTCACCTCAAACCTGAAATGAGTTGAAAATAAAGAACATACTATAAAATACTTCTCTTATGACCAGTAGAGTTGAGTTATTCCAGGAATAAACTGTTTGTTGGGCCCAGAGATGACAAATGCCAAGTTCACACACTGTCATCCATTCTCTGTGAGTGATGTCGTTTATTGATTATAGCACTTTTCTAGCAGACTTCAAAAATGACTCCATAATCCCTTCAAATAGTGTTCCAGGACACAACTAGAAATATGTAAGAATTGCATATGAAATGAAACCTATTTGCCATTCCATGACATAGGTTTTACAATTAATGTTTACAAGCAGCCTTGTGAAGGTTGATATTATTGCCTTTATTTTCCATATGGGAAAGTTGAGCCTTAAGGGTTTAAGAAAGTGCTCAAGATTCTGCTGTTTGGTGGAGCTATGATTTACATCCAGGCCTAGATGATTTAAAAATTCATTCCTTTTGTACTCTACTGCACTGGTATATGTATGTAGTCCTTGATATTCACCCACCTTGGCTTGGAATGAATGCCTGTGAGACTGCTGTTAAAGGTAGCCCTAAAATGTTAGTCATCTTTGATGTTTTTAAATACTTATTTAATATATACTCTTTTGGTATCTTTTTTAAAAGAAAGAACTGTATATATCTTTTTCAAATTATAAAGTGTCTCTGCCCTCCTTTTGCTTGTCATTATTTTGTCCTTAATTAAATCCTCTCCTGGGATAAAATCTTAATCTTTTTATTTTTGTATTTTCTCCTCTGTTTTAGGGCTGTTCTTAATTAAAACTTATAAAATAATCATTTCTGGCATATGACCTTTCACTTCTCTGTCAGGGCCAGATACTTGTCCCATCATGCAGGCCAGCCAGCCCCTGCACTGAGGCACAACACATCCTTTCTATCTTCCCATATGACATAACTGGCTGCTTACGGCTAGATTATGCTAATAAATACTTGTTTTGCTTTTTTTCTTCTGAAAATATCTACATTTTGTGGAGAATGGTGTTTAAACCATCCCTAAAACATTAGGGTTTCAGGACTATATGATTGTAGTGTAGGAAAGTTTTATGGCCAGAGAACATGGCTGTCATCATTCTTTTCAACTCACACATTCCTTAGGCAGTAGTCTTCTTTGAAATACCCAACTGTGCTTATGTTTAACCTGCCCTCATTTCAGAGTCAGCATTCAGTTTTTTTCATAAAAAGTTGGTGATATTGGTTCAACAGAAAAGGGAAAAAAAGAGAGAAAACAGGGTTTTGGGTTTTTTTCAGAGATTTATTTTTAAGATTTATTTATTTTTGTACAAGAGTTGGGGTATAGGCCAGAGGCGCAGGAGGGTGAGAGGATTCACCAGAGACAGAGCAGGGAGCAGAACAGGCAGATGGACTGAAATACACTGCTGAGGGGAGCAGTGGGCGCAACAGGAGAGGTCTGCTGCACCATGTGGGAATCTCCCCGGCCGGCCGGGAATCAAACCTGCACTGCAGAGGCTGTGGACAGCTTCACAACGCTGAGCTCAACCTGCTGCACCACCAAGGAAGCCCTATTTATTTCTTTTTTAAAGATTTATTTATTTATGCATACAAGAGCTGGGGTACAGGCCAGAGGTGTTCGGGGGGAGGTGTGAGAGGATTCACCAGAGACAGAGCGGGGAACAGAATAGGCAAATTGACTGAAGTAGACTGCTGAGGGGGGCAACAGGCAAGTCAGGAGAGGTTTGCTACACCATGTGGCTAGGCAGGGGATGGAACTCGTGCTGCAGAGGCTGTGGACAGCTTCATAGGTTGCGTCTTAACCCCTTGCGCCACCAGGGAGGCCCCTCAGAGATTTATATTTATTTATTTATGCATACAAGAACTGGGGTGTGGACCAGAGGTGTGGAGGGTGAGAGGGTTCTCCAGAGACAGAGTGGGGAACAAAATAGGCGGATCTACTGAAATACACTGCTGAGGGGAGCAGTGGGCGAGACAGGAGAGGTCTGCTGTGCCATGTGGGTTAGCCCCCTGACTGGGGATGCTGCAATGGCTGACAATAACTTGATAGTGCTGAGCCTGAGACTTTCACCCCTGCACCACCAGGGAGGCCCAAAAAAGCATGTTTTTAAAGCCAATTAGAAACATTATTTTGCTAATCAGATAAAGGAGATCAATTACATGATGGAAGCTGGAAACTAGACTTTTGGGGACGATCATAATGTAACATTAATAGATGTCAAAATCATATAATGCTGTATAGCTGAACTATCTGTATGCTTTTAAATACATATATAATGAAACCTATATATACATCTGAGACCTATATAGATTGATATTTATAAACAATGTTACTTCAATAAAAATTAAAAAATATTATTTTGTGGAAAGGCAAAACTCATCTATCAAATGGGTTATACCAACTTAACATACCACTAGAAAATCACATAAAAAGAATTATAAATTTTTAGAGGGAAGTAAGACTTAAGCTATATGATGATAATAGCCAGAATCACTTAGGTTCATTGATTGATCATCTGCCTTTTACCAGGCATTGTTCTTAGTGTTAAGAATACAGAGATGAGTAAGATGATTCTGAGACTTGTGAAGTGATGATTGATGAATACTTCTATAGAGAGCTGTGGAGCCCATGGAAGAGTATTTAGATAAGCCTAGATAGAGTCAGGGAGGCCTGTGTTTTGAGTGAATGGAGTGGTATTTCTGGATCTAATGATATGTATACGTTGAAATTTATAAGAAACTGCCAACTTTCCTAAAGTGACTATCATTTTCCACATATTTTTTATGTTGTCAGTCTCTTTAATTTTAGCTATTCTAATGTGTTTACAGAGGTATCTCATTATGATTTTAATTTGAATTTCCCTAATGAAATGATATTGGGCATTTTAAAAAAAATGTTTACTTGCACCATCCCCTGTCCCCTCTCCAGAAATACTGTACAGATCTTCTGCTCATTTTTTTATTTGGTTGTTTGAATTCTCATCAGTGAGTTGTAAAATTTCTTTATATATTCTGATATGAGTTAGTCTATCATAAGATGTGTATTTTCCACCACTCTGTCTTGTCCTCTCATTTTAAGTGTCAAAAAACAAATTTTTAAACGTCAATTATATAGTTTTGTCTTTTATGTTTCATGTCTTTTGTGTCTCATCTAAGACATCTTTGCCCAATTCAGGGTCACGAAGATTTTCTCCTATGGTTTCATCTAGAAGTTTTATGGTTTTAGGTTCTTATGCTTATATCTACAATCCTCTTTAAATTAACTTTTATATAAAAAACAATGCTTTCAACTAATCTATGACAAAGAAGCAAAGAATGTGCACTGGAACAAGGAAAGTCTCTCAATAAATGGTGCTGGGAAATCTGATCTACTACATGCAAAATGCAAAATCAAAACCACAATGCGATACCACCTCACATGGGTGACAATGGCCCATATTAATAAAACTGGCGACAACAAATGCTGGCGAGTATATGGAAAAAAAGGAACCACTCACACTGCTGGTGGGAATGCAAACTGGTCCAACTACTAGAGAAAGCTGTTTGGAGGTTTCTCAAATTACTAAAAATGTATCTACCATGTGACCCAGTGATTCTGCTTCTAAGAATCGACCCCAAGGACACGAAAACATTAATTCGAAAGGAAACCTGCACTCCTATGTTTATTGCAGCACTATTTACAATAGCCAAGATATAGAAGCAACCCAAATACACAAAAACAGATGAGTGCATCAAGATGTGGAATACTACTAAGCAGTCAAAAAAAGATAAACTTATGCCATTCTCAACAACATGGATGGAGCTGGAAGGGATTATGTTCAGTGAAAGAAGTCAGATGGAAAAAGAAAAAATACCAGATGGTTTCACTTATAGGAGGAATATAGGGAAACCAAACAAAACGTCAAAAAATAAAAAGACAAAACTTGAAGGCAAACTATAGATCTGAGGCATACATGAGGGCGAGGGAGAAGCATCAAAACAGGAGAGAGAGAAGAGCACAAGGGACTATGACGATGGTTCATGGTTGATGTGATGGTGGGAGATTTATGGGGACTACACCTGAGAAAAATCGAATATTGTACAAAAATAACAATGTAAGAAAATTTAAAAAGTTAAATCAATAAAAAAAATTAGTTTGACAATTGCTACAAAAATTCTGTTGGGATTTTGATAGGTGTTGAAGTGAAAAAAAATTGGGGAGAACTGACATCTTAACTGCAGTGGATATTTCTACAGACATATCTATTCATTTGTGAAATTCTTGGATTTCACTCATCAATCTTTTGTAGTTTGCAGTAGACCAATTTTGTACATATTTTGTTAGATCTATACATGTTGATTCCATGTTTTTTGATGCCAGTATAAATAGTATTCCTTTCAAAAATGTTTCTAGTTTCAATTTTTGTTTCTGGTATATAGAAACATTTTTTTATACGTTTAACTGGATTGTGTTTTCTTTGAGATCAGAGAATGTATGGTCTGCTTCTGAATCTCCTATACTTCAGAAATAGCTTGCCATAACAGCCTTAAGAAGTGTTTGTGGAAAATATGTATAAATGATGGTGTGATCTTGTGACAGTTTTGCAAGGCCTTTGACTTAAACAGGAAGCTCTTAACAACTAATTACCTGGTCTTATGATGAGTGGTTTGTTTTCTGCTGGTTTGCTAGCTGTAGTCTGCCTCTTTCTCAGCTTTGAAGTAGATCCTGTTGCAACTGGCATTCTCTGACCATATTAAAACTTGGTTGGATTGAGAAAAATTAATAATATGTTCTCTTCCTCTTTTAGATTCATGCCCGCAACCAAAATGAAATAATTTTTGGCCTGAATGATGGCTACTATGGTGCTCCTTTTGAACATAAGGTAAGAGGATTTTTCTAATGCTGTGAGTGTTATTTGGAGCAGGTAGGCCTCGATGTATAGGGTAAAAAACTCTGTGTAAATAGAACCATGTTTTAAGTATCATAAACGTGTTGTTTGATGTGGCTTAGGGTTTAGGGTGAACCCTTTTTAAAATTGAAACTCCTTTGTAACCACTGCAATCTTTTGTAAACCTAGACCATATTAATTTTTCTAACAGAAAGTCTGAACTAGCTATTTTCTCTTATTCTATATAGTTCTTTGGGAAGTTTAATTCCATGTAACACAATTTATTAAATGTTTTGGGTATCTTTTACAACTTTCAATAATTTTAAAAAATCATAAGTCAAGTTACATTATCATCAATGATGTCTCTGTATCTTAAGGCAATTAGAATAAGGAAAGGGAAGATAATTCATATTTACCAAGTATTTACTACCTGTGGTTCTGTGCCAGGTGATTCATGTTCTTTATCCTACTTAATGCTACCCACAAACCAGTGAGATGATCTTTTTACATTATTTGCTCTTAGGGATCATATTGCTTCATAATTCGTGGTTGTCTGAAATGCTTCTTTCATTCAACAGCTTTTTATTAAGTACTTTTTTTTAATTATGTTGGCCACTGTGCTGTAATGCTAGGAGTACAACTGTGAGCAAATGGGTATTTCCCTGCTGTCATCGAGTGAGGAGACAAACACTGATAAAGTTACCACAAATGGTGGTAAGTGCTGTAAAATCAGTTAGCAAGCACCTCTTTACTTATTCTAGTGACTCAGAAAGATCTTGGGAACTTAACTTTTTTTTTTTTTAAGATTTTATTTAATTATAGAAGAACTGGGGTATAGTCAGAGGTGCAGGAGGGTGAGAGAATTCACCAGAGACAGAGCGGGGAGCAGAACAGGCAGACAGACCGAAGATACTGCTGAGGGCAACAGCGGGTGCGGCAGGAGAGGTCTGCCGCACCATGTGGGAATCTCCCTGGCCGGCCGGGAATCGAACCCACGCTGCAAAGCCTGCGGACAGCCTCACAGCGCTGCACTCAACCCGCTGCACCACTGGGGAGGCCCGGGAACTTAACTTTTAATGAGTGGAAGTGTGAGGTATATTAAGGGAGAGGGGACTAGGTAGAGCTTTCTAGGCAGCGGAGGCTAACTTGTTGTCATACTATGAAGTGGAAATGCGACATGGTGAGTTAAAGAAAGGTAAGAGTGATGGGGAAAAAATGTTACTAGATAAGGTTAGAAAGGGAGGTGGGGTCCACCTCATACAGAGGCTAGGCTACTAAGAGTAGTGGAGTGTGTTAGGGATTTTAGCATGGAAGCATTCCATTTGTGTTTTAATAATTTCACTCTGGCTGCAGAAAGGACTGATTTAGGAGAAGCAATATTTATGTGGGAAGGCAGTAAGGAGAATCTTTCAGTGTGTCAGGTAGAGATGCTGATACTTTGGAATAGAGTTATAGAGAGATGAATTTAGGAAAGTTTTAGGAAGTAAAGTCATAAAACTAGGTGATAGTTTGAATTTAGAGCATAAAAAGGAGTTTTTAAGAAAGCCTTCTGGATTCCTTCCTGCCTTGGATGAAGTAACTCCCATGTTGTGGGTAGGTGCCAGGCACTGGGAGAAGTAAGTAAGGGTGATTGGAGGAAGACCAGGTTTGGTGGAAGCAGATTGTGAGTTGAGATAGATCACACAGAGTTTGAGATATCTGGGAGATACCCATATGGAAGTGTTAAATAGGCATTTGGAGAACTCGCTCTCTTGTTTGCCCTCCCTCCCTCCCTGATATGTTTGCTATGTAACATCTGTGTACATAATAGGTAGAGATCAGAATGTTAGCTTTATTACTAATTTGCCAATAAAGGTTATTGGCAAAGTAGTTTAAATTCTGCAACTCAGAAAGGTTGTATATACTTTCCAAATTGACCCTCACCCCAAAACAGCAAAACAAAGCAAAACTGGGATCTTGTCCGTACCGGAACAAAGCCGGATCCTCCAAGCCCAAAGCAGAATTTATGTGTGCTTTAGACAGGCTGTTCTGAATGGGAGGAACCTATAGAGTACTAAAGCAGTTGTGCACCTTTTCATCTCCCAAGCTCAATAGTCAGGTAAGTCACCTGCTGTCCTGGTGGTGAGTCAGTGAATTAAGGACACTGAGAAACTGGAAATAATATTTTTATGACCTTCTCTCCTGAGAAATGCAGTGGGAAGTTTTTCCCCTTTGTGGGGACATGTGAGTGCCATATTTTTCCTGATAGTGGTAACAATAGGTGATGTTTAGTCAGCACTTATGTGCCAGGCACTATTCTGAACTGTTTACATAGTTTACCTCATTTAAGCCTCACGATTATCCTTTTATAGAAGAGGAACTGGGCATGGAGAAGTTAAGGAACTTTTCCAAGATTACACAGCTGCTTATTAGCCAAGCTGGAATTCAACACTACATGGTTAAGAAATGTTTATTGAATATGTGATTGTAAAAGTTGTACATTATTCTGTGTTCCTTTAGTTAATGGGCTTCGTCAGTGTATAAGCACAATTTACCTTGCCCCTTCGCCAGTTTTCAAATGAACATCTGACGTATAGGCTGAACCTTAAAAGCATTTTTTTCCTCTTTGTTTTAAGAAAATGATGAGGGTTTCTAGTCAAGATGACATTGTGAGTACATACTTTTGGGACCCTCCATTGCATCAGACAAAAATAATTGATGAAATCAGAACACTTTAAATTTAGAGATATAGCCTTACTAAAACAAGAAAACAAAAAGCAAGATAATAAACATTTCTGGAAGAGAAACGGAATCAAAACATGAAGAAATGGGTAGAAGCAGAAGCCTTGAGCCTTCTGGTGTCCTTGCTCAGAAGTAGGCATAGTTGAAAGCCAACTCCTCTCAGTGAAATGAACACTAAATGAGCACTAAAAACTGAGATAGGGCTCTCCCTATTACTAAAGGGCATTAAACAGTTAGGGATACCTCATAAAGAATAGAAACAATATAGAATACAGGTTTTTTAAATTTTAATTAGCAGAGGGGACAAAGGAACTAAAGAATACAAAACTTTGTCAACTTGATAGGAGACAAAAGGAAAATAGAGAAAACCAATGGTGAACAGAAACAGGTACTACAGTGGTAGAAATAAGTTCAAATGTATTTGTAATCCCAGTAGTTGCAAATGAATATCTTACCTGTGTTTGAGATATTTCTTTTTTCTTAAAGATTTATTTTTATTTATTTATGCATATAAGAACTGGGTGCAGGCCAGAGGTACAGGGGTGGTAAGAAGATTCACCAGAGACAGAATAGGGAGCAGAATAGGCGGATCTACTGTGATACAATGCTGAGGGGAGCAGTGGGAGAGACAGGAGAGGTATGCTGCACCATGTAGCTCAGCTCGCTGGCTGGGGATTGAACTCATTGCTGCAGTGGCTGGTAATAACTTCATAGCACTGAGATTTTAACCCCTGCGCCACCAGGGAGGCCTGTGATTGAGATATCTCATAAAAGATTTGAAAAATGCTAAAGGACCAAGGCTTTTCGGACAGGGTTGAGTTTTAAGAATATGTGTTCTATACAAGATGGGAAAAGTTAAACTTGTGAAGCCATGATGAAGTACATTTTAAAGCAACTTTTAAAATAATGACTAAAATTTTTGTTGGCACTCTTTCAATATTTTTGTTTTTTGCATTGGTTATGACCAGAAACACTTTAAAAAAAAAATCCTGCTGGGGCCTCCCCTCGTGGCGCAGCGGTTTAGCACTGGGCTGCAAAGTTGCCCGCAGCCTCTGCAGCACCGGTTGGATCCCCGGCCCCCGGAGAGGGTCCCACATGGTGTGACAGACCTCTCCTGCCATGCCCGCTGCTCCACTCAGCAGTGTATTTCATCAGTCTGCCTGTTCTGTTCCCTGCTCTGGCTCTGGTGAATTCTCTTTTTTTTTTTTTATAGAGGCATGTTTTTATTTATTTATTTATTTGTTTGTTTGTTTTGTTTATACATGCACTGGGTACAGTCAGAAGCGCAGGAGGGTGAGAGAATTCACCAGAGCCAGAGCCAGAGCCAGAGCAGGGAGCAGAGCAGGCAGAAGGACCGAAGTACACTGCTGAGGGGAGCAGCGGGCGGCAGGAGAGGTCTGCGCGCCATGTGGGACCCTCCTCTAGTGGCCGGGGAGCAGCCGGGGATCGAACCGGCACCGCAGAGGCCGCGGGCAGCTTCGCAACCCAGCGCTCAACCGCTGCGCCACCAGGGAGGCCCTCTGGTGAATTCTCTTAACCCTCCCGTGCTTCTGACTGTACCCAGTACTTGTATTAAAAAAAAAAAAAATTAAAAAAAAAAATCCTGCTGTTCATTATGTTGCTATTAAACTGCTGCTTCATCTGTGTTCTACCTTTCTATTCTTCTTTCAACCACTAAGGACCTAAAAACTGAAATCACACCATTTACTGAGAACTTTTGCCTCTGTTTATCTACTTCTTTCAGCCACTAAGGACCTAAAAACTGAAATCACACCATTTACTGAGAACTTTTGCTTCTGTTTACTTCCTAAAGAGGCTTTATTCTTTTCTGTTGAGTTTTTAGGGACCTGCTAACTATATTCAGTGGATAAGTAGTTCATTCTTATTATCAGGGGTGTGTTTAGAAACCAATACATTTAAAAATATGATCTTGACTAAAATAAACACTGTGGGTTTGAATTCTCTTTGTTTAATAATCTCTGCTGGTATTTTAGTAGGCGTGATGTGTTCTTGTTAATTTTTATAGTAACATTTCATTTATTTGGCATACAAATGTGGAACTCTTAAATATTTAACAGCAATGCAAAGAGATAACTGAATAAATACTGATGAAATTAATACTGTTATCAATAGTTATAAAAGTGATCCATGATTTTTTTCTTTCTGTGAGTAAATATCAAATACCTACTATGTACCCATTATTGGACTAAGTACTGTGGGATACAAAGTATAGGACACAGATTCACAAACATATATTTCTCTTAGTTGAGAAG